CACAGACCAAAGCATGCTATGATCACTCGTGGGTATGGTACTATTTGAACCAATTCTGTAGCACTTTTTAATTACTAGAAATGGGGAGAGACTTGGGAGGAGGAGGGCCATAGAAATCCCAGACACACAGAATTGGATTATTAACATTCTTAAAGTTACGTGTGCTTCAGTACTCTATGGGATTGGGGCCTTCTTTCTTGTGCAGAACTTTCCCCCCTTTTCAGTTCTAAAGAACTTGGGCCTGATTCTCTCCCCCACACCCTCCCCCAATTTTTATTGCACTGTTTTTGTGCCATTCTAACTGTATCAAGGTTACTGGAATAAGAGGCATTAACATTGTTTAATAGTGGGGAATTGGATCCCTCAGCTGCAGACAGAGCACCAATTGATCTGCATAGACCTTGCGGTGGTGGTCATCGGATTAGGTGTGTTTGATATAGGGATGTCCTTTTTCCACTTTGACGCTTTCCCTCCAGTTGGATTGTTGAACTAAATACCTGGAGTTGTTGCAAAAGGAAAAGGATACACTTCAAAAGCGGACCCGATTCTGCAAGCTGCTGAGTGCCTTTCGCGAGGGGCTGAATACCCCGAATTCCTATTGACTCAGTGGATAGTGAGTGAACTCCACACCTGGCAGGAGTAGGCCCAGAATACATAGGATTGCTTTGGAAAAAGGGACCACAAATTTTGTTCCTTTTCAAATTGCTGTATAATCTTTTTATGGGGAGTAAAACAGTAAGGCATTTACAATGCAAAACCTAACAATAAACAAGGCCTCGTTTTGTATTTATGACATGTGGAGAAAGATTGCGCCAACATGGTAACTTTTAATTCTGAGCTAACCAACTTTCATTCTACAGTAGGTTTGACTCTGGAGTTGTTTGATGGTGAGTCAATGAGCCTTACATGGGGAGAGGAGTAAATCAATTACTCCTTGTGCTTTGATATGGGCTGTCCCCAAAAGAATAATGTAAAGCTGTCAAGTGAATGACAGTTTACTCTGCCTCCACCAATGCTATTATTTTAAAGGATCAGGTACGATAAAGTCTAGAAATCTCAGTAATATTCAAAAGTCCACTTTGATTTTATTTGCCTTTTCCTGGGAGATGAACTTTACTGCTGCATCAGGGGACTAATGATGCCCCAATGAGACAATGGGCCCTCTATGAACTGTGGGCAGATGTTTAAAGGAGCTCAGCATCCAACAAATCCCATTTTCTCTGACTCTGGTACTTTAGGCCCCGATTCAAGAAAACATGTAAGCGTGTGCTCAATTTTAAGCATGTGAAATAGGATTTTAATATCTGCTTAACGTTAAGCAAGTGCTTAAGTACTTTCCTGACTCAGGATCATACGTTGTATTGAAGTTTTATGTTCATGGTTTGCATTGCACCATTACATCCGCAGATGGTAGCAATTTTCACCCTTGAGGATCCCAAAAAGGCTTGCAAACTATTAACTACTAAATCACCTACTTTTAGTTGGAGGATGTTGGCCGTGTGGGTGCACAGCAGTGAAGAAGAGGGGGAATATTGGCCACTAACCCTACTGTTTAAAAAAAAAAGCCATAGGCTCTTTAATGTCTACAGTGAAGGGATAAAACCTAGAGGTTCAAGCTCTCATCCAAAATATGAGTATTATGCAATAAGTTGCATTTTTACTTACCGGAAAGGGTACACTTTTCACTTTCTAGAGGACATGGTTGACAAGCTGAAACTTAGAGCTGTAAAACTCCTCACCTAAATTGTGCTTTCACATTATTTTTCTTTGTATTTTGAACACAGCTATAAATCCAGTACTAAGTAAATAGCATTTAGCTTTCCCTGTACTCTAAATACAGTGCTACAGAAAATGGAATTTTATTTTCTGCCAAATATCTTTTGTGACTCCCAAGTCATATTTCTGAAACTCCCTCAGTTGCCTTGACACTGCATTAGTTTGCTTAGAAGAAAGGCAGCTGATCTGAAACCAAGATCTATTGACACAGTGCCGCCAAGAGGATCTGAGCAAAGGTGGCATTGGAGATGGATCTGTCATGTGCTTTGAATGGCAACTGATTCCATCACGAGAGTACCAATAAGATGGACAACTGAAGGCAAGCGAAAACGAGGCCTCCTGAAAACGAAATGGCGAAGAACTGTGGAAGCCGAGCTGAAAAACCTGCGGCACGGCTGGGGAACCATTGAAAGACTTGCCAGAAACAGACAGGAATGGAGGAGCATTGTCACTGCCCTAAACGCCAGAGGTGTAATAGGAACATGATGAAGAATGGTAAAAGATGGTCGGGGTATGTACTGTCCAGAGTGCCTTAGCAAACAGGTGGCAGTCTGTATAGCTAAAACATCATCATTTCAGTGTTCTGATCAATATATAGGAAAAATACTGAAGAGACTTGAGCTGAGAATAGTGGTTATAGATCAAATATGGGTGGGTTTTAATGAATACATATTTGTTTATTACTATCTATTGTGTATTAAGATAATGCCTAGATTGGGGCCCTACCATGATAGGTATTGCACCTATCACATAGCAAAAGACAGTTCCTGCTGTTAATGATTTACAATCCAAACGGAAAAAGGGTGTGAGGTAGGGAGCACTATTATTTTCATCTTACAGATGGGGAACTATGGCACAGAAAGACTAAATGACATGCCCAAAGTCACAGAATAAACCTGGGGCAGAGTTGGAAAGTGACCCCAGATCTCTTGAGTCCTAGTTGAGTGCCTTACCCACAAAATCATCTACCCTTTTCATTTGGCTTGGGAACTGCATTTAATCAGATGCTGATTGTATATTGTGTGTTTGACATCAAAGTCAGTAATGGGTTTAAGGGTTGCGGTAAATGATCTTGAAAGAGAAACTGTAATATTCATAAAGCCTAAAATGACAACTTAATGGAGAACTTAATTTTTAAAAAATCCTTTAGTGGTCAGTCATGTCCATTAGTTAACAGAATTCCCCATTTAACTGATTTTTTTAAAAAGCTCTTTGTGAAAGTAAAAATGGAACAAAATTATACCATGTTGTTTGCAACAATCAAGGGCCAAATCCTACTAGTCTTTTCCTGGCAAATCTGTGACTGAAGTCAATGAAGTTTTCGCTAAATAAGAACTGATGCTCAGATTTTTAAAGGTATCGGGGCATTGCTCCACTGAGTATGGCAACTCCGAAGTTTCACTTTCAAAAGTGGCTAAGACACTTAAGAGACTAATTCTCATTGGCCACCTGGGATTTTGGATCCTAGGTTCCTAAACCCATTTCAAAAATGAAATGTGGGCTCCTAAATCCAGTTAGGCATTGCAATGCTGAGCACAGCAATGCCTCAATATCTTTAAAAATCTGGGCCCTAGAGTTTTGGCCCCCTGTAATTTTAAATGAATGCAATATATGCCCCTAATAAGTGTCACAAGAGGATTTGAAATATTAAACCGCTAAATATCCCTTTTTGTTGTTTACAATGGTGCTTATCTCAGGAAAAAAAAATAGCCATTTTCTTAGTACTAAGTTATGGCTGCTCCAGCGTGGGTGACCTAGGGTGGGTAGGAGACCAAATGCGCTTTTCCTTGCATTCATAGCCTGTGGGAGTGAGTCTCCTAGCCTGGGCCAACAGGCTAGTGGGGCTCATGCTAGTGCTCTCAAAATTGCTATGTAGACAGTGCTTTGAATTTGCAGCTCAGACTGGAGCCATGGCTCTAAAGATTAGGGTAGGGGGTGGGATTTGGAGCCCAAGCTCCAGCCAGAGCTGACTTCAGAGCGGTGTCCACACAGCTATATTGAGAGTGCTAATGTGAGCTCCGCTAGCCTGAATCTGTTGACCCGGACTGAGAGACTCACTGTCGTGTGGTGCATAGACATACCCACACAGGCCCCACTCTTGCAAGCTGCTTCACACAGGCATATCCCCATGCCTTGTAGAGCCCTATTGGAGTAAGCAAACCAACCAACCCTTTGGGTCAGGTTCTCAGCTGCTGTAAATCAGCATATCTCCACTGAAGTCAATAGAGCTACACCAGTGTACTCCAGCAGAGAATCTGGCCTTTTTCTTGATCTGGAGCCATTGAAACCCCCTGAATGCTTCCTTCCTCATGTAGATTTGGAACAGCCTAAACACACATACCACTGATGCTATTGGACTTGTTTTATTCAAACATAGCTTGTTCTATGGATCTCATTGTGATCTATAAAACAAGAAAAGTTTGAAGGATTTTTTTTGTTTTGTTTTGTTTCTTTAATCATTTTTGTAGTTACACATGCAGATTCTGACGGGAACTTGTGAGGGGTGCGTGGAGGTGTTCCCATCTATAGCTCAAGGAAATACAACGTTCAGAACAAAATGAACTTGTGTAAGAAAAACAAGCACAGAAAATTTCAGTTCCAAAGGAATTTATTTGAGAAAGTTATGAGTGAGAGTTCTGAGGGGTGAGAGTTCTGAGGCTGGGGTCAAGAGAAAGGAATGGAAGCTGAAACTCAGCCTAAACTACAGCAGTCTGTGTTATTGTAATAATGAGGGTAATAACAAAGCCTTTTGTAGTGGTGAGCGGAGCTCAAAAAAGTTGGCTCAAAAAAGAAAGTCTTAGTCTCACAAACTCATGCCTTCAGTTTCTACCCCAAAGCTGATTACAACTAGCTTTCCTTGGTTAATATTTCCTGACTTAAATACAGTTTACAAATTATACACCTTATGTAGATGCCTGTGACATGATAGACTAGATCCGGAGGCCCCCTGCTGGAGGCCTCATGGCCCTTCCACATCCTACCCCAGAAAAGGGCAGTAGAGAGGTCTTCCAAGCTACCTAGAGTGGCTGTATGGGAAGCAGCCAATCAGGGCCATGCAGGCTAGTATAAGAAGAGCTGCAGGGGCAGCAGGTGTTCAGTTCCTTGCTGGAGCTGGTGGAGTGTGGATGGTGTGCCTGGCTGAGAGAGCTACAGGACACTGGACAAAGCAGTGCTGGCAGTGGCTGGGGGAACCATAAAGGACTGGTTGCTGAGACTCAACCAGGACAAGACCATGAGGTAAGGGCAAAGAATGAGCTGGGGTTGTGGGGAAGTGGCCCAGGGAATTAGACCAGCAGTGCAGCTTAGATAAAGGGACATGGCATGGCTACTATTTATAGGGTCTCTGGGCTGGGACCCAGAGCAGAGGGTGCACCTGGGTCTCCCCCATCAGCCACTGGGAAAGTGGCCTGGACTTTGATGTACCCTAGAAAGGGAACTGAACTCTTTTAGTGGCCCAGCTGAAGATATGGGCCCTGAGAGGGCAAAGACATTGCCTCTATACCAGAGCAGGGATAACTTGAGAGAGACATTATGGAGGGCACTGAGAGAGGCCCCTGTTGGACTTGTACCCTGGAAAAGGTTTGTTTTGCTTTTACCTTAGAGATAGATTGTGTATGACTTCATCGGAGGGATGAGTCAGTGAAGACCCACCATAAACAGAGAGAGAGAGTGAGAGTGCAAGCACATGTACTGAGAAAGGGAGTGCTCATTAGAGATGAGTGCACCCCATTATAGTACCAAAACAGTTCTTTGAAAAAACAGTAAGGAAACTAAGACTGGGTCTAGAAGGGGGTGGTGCCTCCAGGAGGGTGTCCCACAGCTAAGTCCCTGTATTGCTTGTAGTAAGTGACTCTGCTTAGTGTTATGGGGTTTTATTTGGCTTAAATCCTGCTAGGGTTTTCAGATTTTTCTCAGCTAGGAGGGTCTCCCTGATTTCAAGCGACTGGCTGCAGGTAAGCCTAGTTGGATCCAGAACCTTTATAAAATTGTCCAGGCTACCCTCATGATGAGGGGAGAGAGGGTTTGTTTATCAGAAGCCAGGACAGTAAGTTCTGGAGACATAACAGCAGCTGGCTGTGTTTAGCTTAGTTTGTTTGGTTGTATATTAGTTGTTTAGGAGTCTAGACTTAGTTAGAAGAGTGTAGACAGAGACTTTGTGCTGCTCTTCCATTGATTAAAATGGAAATCCCGTGGAAGGTTTCTGGTTAAATGTGGGCATCTTATGAACTTTTCTCTTTTGAATGGAGATTTCCAGAGGAAGACCCAGAGGCTGTGGGAAGCGGTATTGATAATTGGGTACGTGTTACTATTTGCTTTGGGATGGTGCCAAAACAATGGCCCACTTTGGGCTCTATAGGGTATTGTGCTGTGGCAATTGCCATTTTCAAAGTGAACTACCAGGTTCCTCACCAATAGTGATTGTCCATGGCACTGCTAAAAAAATAGGTGCTGGAGTTGTGATTGGTATCTAATGTGGCATTTTTTTCTGTCTACCTATGTTCCTATTTTGGGTTCAACTTGAGATGGGGTAAAATTTTCAAGAAAGCCTAATCCCACTTTCAAAAGTGACTTCCAATGAAGAGCCTAAATCATATTGACTTTCAATGAGACTCAAGGGGCCTAAGTGCATAAGTCACTTTTAAAAATGGGACTTAAGCTCCTCAATCACTTCAGTCCTTTTGAAAATTTTACCTATGGTATTTTTCTTCACTTCCTGTCCTAAACATTTGTTTCATGCTGCTTTTGCCCTCTTCCACCTCAGAGACTGACTGTATTTTACTGGTGGGAGAAATGTATTCTAATATTTGTATAAAGTACTTTCAGATCTTTTAGAGTCAAGGACTTGCATGCGTAGAGCAATTTATAAAGTAAAGTGTGGGATGCAAAAGGAAGCATATACTATTATGGGGGAGTTTTGTTTTAAAGAGTAACATCCGTTCTATAGTCAGTTCAATTTATCTAATGATTACAGAGGTCCTGGCTGGAAGGCAACTCAGTGTATTGTGGAGGAAGCTCTAGAAGTGCTGGTAAACAGAGCCTTTGGTAGTTCTAAAGGAGGCAAGAAGAAGGAAACAAACCGTTCTGAATAATAATTATGATGATAGCTAGTGGATTTTCAACACCGCTCCACACCCAGCCCCTGCTCTCCTTTAGAGCTCTTGTGCTGAACCCGTTTGAAAGTCTGGCCAGTAGAAATTATTTTCTCTCATTTTTGAGAGGGAGCATAAAAGGTAAAGCAAATAGTTCCATAAATAGTTAATTGTTTTAGTTCAAAGATCTTTAGGGGTACCCCACACTGGGAATGATACATAGTTATTTTCTATTCAGTATCGGACATTGTGGAAGTATCCTGCATATACTGTTGCAGATTTATATTTGGGAAAGATAAATTGAAAGGGTTCAGGGGGACTACTCGTGAGACTTGTGCAGTTCTAAGAAATTTTGTTTAAAATTTAACTTGGATAAACGAAACGGGACAAAAGGAGTAACTCTGGATTTATAGTGGTGTCAATGAGCCTGATTCTTTCCTCACTTACACCGGCACCACACTGGTGTAAATCCATTGAGTTATTCCTGATTTACTCCAGTAGAAAGAAGAGGAAAATCAGACCCGCTGTTTGTTTCAGCTGGATCCTGCAATATTGTTACAAATAGACAGACTTGTACGGGAAAAGCATTTTAATGATTAATCAACATGCTTACAAATGAATCACCAGCTCTCTTGACTCTGAAATTAGTCATTCATTTACTGTTACATAGGTGTTGTAGAAGCCATTGGAGCAGCACAGGAGCAGGTTGGCTTATCATATTGCTACTCCTTGTGGTAAAAAATACAATTTTCCACCTTCAGCAGATCTTACATAATTCATTGGTGCTGAAACAAAGCTCCCTGTCAGGGTGCTGTATCCCTAGCTCTATGTGACAATAAAAATAACCCAAGCACATTGCACTCAAGCAAACCTACCTTGGCTGAGATCCTAGAGGTAGTGAGCTGAGCAAGATCAGTTTTGTTGAAGGGCCAAATGGAGTCAGCAATATTTAATATGAATATTGCTTTCTGCTGTTGTTCCTACTAAAGACTTCGCGCTTTTAAAACTCCACCTGCCCATTAGGGGACATCCTCCTTGCATGGTGCATTCCATTCAGGAACACTGACTTCCTGTTCAAACCAATACACAAAAAGGCCAGGTCCAGCAGGTTAGATGAAATGTTTAAAGATTCAGCAGCACAATGGAAGTAAGTGGGTGGAAAATAATAATCCGAGTAAAACACAGCAGCTAGTTCTTGGAGTGGAGAATGGTTCTTGCTGTTTGTGAAAGCGAGAGAAGTCCTAGTTAAGAGGCTGTCTCCATGGTATTCTTCAAGTAGTCCCTGGTTTAGCATTAAGGATAAGTGGGTCTTTGTTAAAGTGGGAATCCTTAGATAAAGCTGTTTGGAATCCTAAGCTGCTCTGGCATGGAGCACTCCTTCATTCAAGCTACAGAGGAAGAAACAAAAGCGTAGCTATGTTTGTCTATTGTTGCATGCGTTAATGAACATTGCACAAGGTGGGAGAAAAAGACCACATAACAAGATACCAGCTGCCCAGGCAATGCACAACATTTAGGAGACAATCATTTAGAATCAACTCCTAGGAAGTTTTCAGCACATGGCAATAGCAGATGATGATCAGTAAGGAAAATCCCCCAAAGCCTCTATACCAGCAGTTCTCAAACTGGGGTCCTCCAGGGGGTCCGTGAGTCATGACCGGGGCCGCTGGCCCTGCTGATCAACTCCTCCCCCTCCCTCCCAGAGCCTCCTGCATGCTGCGGAACAGCTGTTCAGTGGCGTGCAGGAGGCACTGGGAGGGAGGGGTAGGAGTGGGGATGGGGCATGCTCAGAGGAGGGGCAGGGGTGGGGCCTTGGGGGGAAAGGGTGGAGTGGGGGCAGGGCCTGGGGTTGAGCGGGAGTTGAGCTCCCTGGGGAAAATTAGAAGCTGGCTTGGGGGTCTGCAAAAAAATTTCAATAAAAAATGGGGGTCCTGGGGTTGTTAAAGCTTGAGAACCACTGCTATATACTGTTAATGATTTAATTTTCTTGTGTCTTTGACTATGCTGTTGGGAAGCAATCCTGGATTGTTAGTAGAAGTTACAACTTTCTGTAAGGTGCATGTGAATTGCTTGCCATGGATAAGCATAAGAAGTAGAGAACAGATAGGAACCACTGACTGCATCAGAGGAGCTGGTCAAATGGGGGAAGATGGATGTTCATAACAGAAAAATTGAGGATTTTCTCTTGATAAGTAGAGTCAAGAAGGAACTTGAGCTGTGGGGAATAGTTGCTGAATTTGTGAGGAGGAACATATTATTTGAGGTCATGCTTCTTGTTGTAGAGCTAAATAACAGTGGTACCAGCAAGTATTGGAAAGCTAGCCTGCATTAGAAAAGGCAAAACAACAAATATTGTTGGTGAAGTCAAAGGGGTTACTCTGGCTGTAAAGGAGACCCAAGGTCCCATTATCTGAATATGTGGAGAAAAAGTGAAGAAAGAATTAGCAAACCAGCAGGAAATGATTTGGGGCGTTGCCTGGCTTCTTTTATACTATGAAGTTCCCGCAGTAAGTCATGCTGAGTAACACTTCTCATTTTCAAGTGAAGAATTCTCAACAGGCAGCGCAAGGTTTCAGTGAAGAGGTGATGACAGAGTAGGGGATGGAGTTAATAATGGAAGCACTTACACAACCTTAATTTCAGCACTAGTGGATGCTTTCATGATATTTATATCCTGTCTTGGCTTATCTGTTAGAGAATTAAACCTTTTTTGGCTGGGTGCAATGTGACTCTTCCAGTAGCTCTCTCCTTTCAGCAAAAACAACGAGGAGTCCTTGTGGCACCTTAGACACTAACAAATTTATTTGGGCATAAGCTTTCCTGGGCTATAACTCACTTCATCCGATGCATGGAGTGAAAAAAAGAGTAGGCAGGTATAAATATACAGCACATGAAAAAATGGGAGTTGCCTTATCAAGTGGTGGTAGTGGTGGGGTCAGTGCTAACAAAGCCAATTCATTTAGGGTGGATGTGGCCCATTCCCAACAGTTGACAAGAAGGGCTGAGAAGGGAAAATTATTTTTTGTAGTGACCCAGCCACTCCCAGTCTTTATTCAGGCCTAATTTGATCTCTCCTTTCAGTTAGTCTTATGTCTAGAATCTCTGCATAGAATGGCTGGTGCTATGGAGATATATAGAACTGGAAGA